CCCTAAAAAAAAGGTATTGACGTTATAACAACTAGCTATTCATAATTCTAAGTCGTAATACTTGTTTTGAAGAGAGCCAGGAAAACGCTGAGACGTTTGAGATTGATTCTAAAAGCATGTTATCTTCTTACGTTTTACGCCTCCATTGATAGTTTAAGAGTACGTGGCTGGCTGGTGCTCTGGTGTGGTTTGCTTCTTCTTTCCCATCAAAATCAAATATTTGTCGTCCTTATCTCTCCTCCTTCTTTTTTGTGTTTGTTACTCTCTTGTAACACCTCTAATCTTTGGCACTTATATGACCTTGTTGTTTTGCAAATGCCGTAAAACTCTTACAAAAGCTAAACTGATAGTTTAAGAGGCAGGCTGCTAGGACTCTTGTCTCCCAGGAGCAAAACCTGGGGCCGTGTGGGATCATAATATCCGGGGGACGGAAACAGTGCATCGACAACATGGGATCCTCTGGCGGGAATGGAACGCTTGTCTTCTGCTCACATAGGCGAGGAGACAAACAATTGAACCCTCTCAGAAAAGCGACTGAAACGTCTAGTTGAAACCCCTCCCCCCCCCAGAAATGTCACAATTGAAAAAAAAAAGGAGAAGGGAGGTTTATTTTCTCCTAGCTGCATTCTTTCAAATTCGAACTTTCTTCTTCGCAAATGATCCCTTGGATAAGCTAACTAAGCCATGTGCTGTGTGCAAGTGTATGTGGAAGGTAAAAGAAATGCTATAGATCTACTCACTGTGAGATACCAACTTTTAAACTTTAAAGTTTCATTTTCTCCACTTTGACATAATGTGACTTATCTGGAGTTTTTTTCGGTCCACTTGAATCTTCACTCACATCACAATGACTGTAGATTTTTTGCAGTGGAAAAGACAAAGAAAGCCAGGAAAACGCTGAGACGTTGGATTATTTTTAAAAAATGTTCTAAGCCCCAACTGATAGTTTAGGAGTCAGGCTGCTGGGACTCACTCTTGTCTCCCAGGAGCAAACCTGGGCTCTGTAGGTGGTTGGCAGGTGCTCTGGTGTGGTTTACTTTTTCTTTCCCATCAGATATGTGTCGTCCCTATCTCCCCTTTTTCTTTTTTGTGTTTGCTACTCTCTTGTAACACCTCTAATCTTCGGCACTTATATGACCTTAATGTGTTGCAAGTGCCGTGAAACTCTTACGAAAACTAAACTGATAGTTTAAGAGGCAGGCTGTTCTTACTACTGGGAGACAGGAGCAAAACCTGGGGCCTTGTGGGGTCATAATACCCGGAGGACGGACGTGGTGCCTTGACAACATGGGTTCCTCTGGTGGGAATAGAACGCTGGTCATCTGCTCACAAGACTAGGGAGGAGCCGAACAATATTGAAACTTCCTGTTGACCTCTCTCTCTCGCCACCCCCCCCCCCCCCAGAAAAGTCACAATTGAAAAAAAAGGACAATAGAGTTTTTTAAACCCTTGCTGCATTCTTTCAAAGTCGAACTATCTTCTCCACAAATGATCCCGTGGATAACCTAAGTCCAGTGCTGCGTGTAGTGTAAGGCAAAAGAAAGTCTATAGATCTACTCACTGTGAGATACGGACTTTCAAACTTGGAATTTTCATTTCCTTTACTTTCTTACATTGTGACATATCTGGTGTTTTTTGTCTTCTGGAATCTTCAACAACATCACGATGACTGTGGATTCTTTGCGGTGTGAAAGACAAAGAAAGCTATACAACTATAATAAATAACACAAAAAGTGGAAATCGAATGAAATGGTCCGAAAAAAAGGATCTAGATCTAAGTCATTTTAAGGTCGTTTAAAGAAAAAGTAACCCCCCCCCCCACAAAAAAGCAAGCAAACAAACAACCCCCCCCCCAGAACAAAACAAAACCGGTTGGACTTTAGCATGACAATACTACTGTGTTTGGATAATCTCTAAAAGCCATACTCTGATGTAAAGCCATCCAGTTATTTCATTCACACCCTGTGTTGAGTAGTCTCCCCTGGCGTGGGTCGTTATATTATGGAGTATAATTCTATTTTTAAGCAACATGTGACTTTGACACTCTATTGTTTGGACCCCTTTAGGTTATCGTTGACATCAGCTTTTTAACAAAAATAAATAAATAAATAAATAAAAGAAATAGATCAGATTCAGATAAGTGCTATAGAGTATAATATACATAGTAGGCCTACTGCTGTAAGCTGACGAAAAGCCTTTCTTAAATTCACAACATTTTCGACATAAAGAGGCTTTTGTCAGCGTAACCATTTAAAAAAGGCATTCTTCCAAAATTTGAATTCTAATTTATTCAGAAACTAGTTCATTTTTTCCCAACAAGTGAGGTAACTGATCAGGCTTTCAATTTAGCACCCAAAAAAATAAAAAAATGGGGCCAAAAATTTAGAAAAAGGCATTTTTATCAGCTTTCGACAGTATACACGATTGGCGCTTAAGGATCATAGAGATATATTATTTTAAACCTATCCGTACGCCCTGCGGACATTTGGTACCCACAGGGGTGTATTCTTCACATTTTAGAATATTTCTAGTATGAAGATCTCTTTGAAACTTTTAGTATTTCTCCAAAAAATCATGTTGACAGACTGCTAAGCAAAGCGTACGGATCAAATTAACGAGTAAATTTCCTCTTTGGAAAGTGGTGGCACAGAGTTCCCCATGTCGTATGGATACGATAGTAAAACACGACGTACGGATAGGGTTAAAAAAAAAGGTGTTCTTCCAAAATTGAATTCTAATTTATTAAAAATCTAGCTCATTTTTTCCCCACAAGTAGGGTAACTGATCAGACTTTCAATTTAGCAAATGAAAAAAATTGGGGCCAAAAATTTAGAAAAAGGCATTTTGTCAGCTTTCGACAGCATACACGATTGGCGCGTAAGGAGCATTGGGATATATTATTTCAAACGTTCAGATAGAACAATCACTCTGGGACTACAAGATCCAGTTACACGTCATGAGAGACACTAGCATCCCTGCAGTGACTGACAGCTGAACCGCTGCTCTCGTTGGGCTCTGCCCGCCATTTTCCCCCGCCTTTCCTTCCTGTCCAGCCGCACTTCCGCCTCCTACTCCACTTCCGCTTCCGGGAGAAAGCATGCGCTTGGTGGTTCCGTCAGGCCTCGTGGCTCCTGTAATAATAATA